AACTTGCATTTTTTTAGGATGACAAATCTCTCTCCATTTCCTGTCCAAATTTCCAAGTCCCTTTGTGTTATTTCCCTGGCCTCACTGTTTTACTTGCTAGATGATGAATGTCATGAACTAGATGTGCTTGTTTTACCCTCTTTTCCCGGTAATGAATAAAGATGTCCTCCAAAATAAGACCAAACAAAATACTGATCCATTAGTCACCCCACTCCAAACTGAATGCCTTGCTGTTTTTTTGCTACCATTTGCTTACAGTACTTTAGTCAACTTTCAATTAATGTGACAGTGCTCATATCAAATCAGTGTGAATTACAAGTAAGGGTCAGAGACACATAATCAAACTCTTCAGTGAAATCAACATGCATTATATCTATTGCATTCCCTTTGTCTGCTAATTTTGTAATCCTATAAAAAACCACAAGCTTTGCCTGGCATGATTTCCTACTTTGTAAGACCACACAGCTTATTGCTAATGGTTCAGTTATTCACTACATGTTTAGTTTGTAATCTTTTTATTAGACGAATCCAAAGTAGTTTTGGGCATTGTTTTTCCCCCGCCCATCTTTTTTAGTGAAGTTATAAGACTTGGGAGCTCCAAAACTCTGTTTAAAAAAAATGATGTCATGGCTCGTATGAAATGCTATTAAATTACTTTTTGTGGTGTTCTGTTGTAGCCTTTAGATGCCAAACTAGTGCAAAAGATGTCAAACTACATCAAATTTGAGGCCATCTGATGTTAAAGCAGCTGATACCTTGTGGAAAACTTGAAAAACATCCTTTTTATATAGAATTATGCTATGTATTTATTCTGCAACTGGGAAAAGGGTTGTTCTTATTTTACTGGCGACAATAAGACAGCTTCTTAGTTTCCTTGAAAGTTCATCTCCTGCTGTTTGTTCCCCACCAAAGGTTATAATCCTCTATCAAAGTCACTTCCAAAAAAATCAGTTGTGATACTTGTAAATAGAGGTTTATGGATTCAGATGCAGCCAGAGCTCATTAGTTTTTAAAAACTAATATCCTGTTTTCATGCAGATATCTCTAGTGTTATATTACAAAGAAATACACATAATTAGAAAGCTTTAAAATCTGCGTTTTCTTGAAATTTTAACGGAAAATTTACTCAGATTGTCCATTAAAACTCTGAAGCAACTTTTCTACATACTGTACTAGAAAATTCATATAGTCCCTGATCAGCAATGACAACATTAATTTCACTTGGTTTTATTTTTCACGTGGACATTTTTTCCTCTAATATAAAGATACAAATTGAATTTTGTGATGCTAGTCTTTCCTTTTTAATGGACTTTTCTACTTTCTCCATTTGGAGGGGAAAGGGCCAAGAATATATTTCTATTAAAAGGTTTCCAGGGTTTCTTTTAGAATGAATTGTCTGCAGGAGGACTCGTTTGCCAAAATCTGTTAAGGCAGTTTGTGAAGGATTTTAGTGGGTATTTTTTTCATAGTAAGTGTTTCATTTGGGCCAGAGTGAGGGGGCTATGTATGCTTCTCCAGGCTTTTCAGGAGTGAGTGCACACAAAGTTTGAGACATTACATTGGGCTAGGGTTACCATATTTCAGCGAGCAAAAAAGAGGACAGGAGGAGCCCCGCCCTAGCCCCGCCCCTGCCCCTCCCACT